TGAAACCCGATTTAATTCCATTTCACGAACATAACATCTTAAATACCTTGAAATATTCCTCCCATCAAATTGATCAATTTTATTGACCACTGCTTGCAATGCTTTGGTTGCCAAAGCTTCCTTTCGATCATTGCTTTGCTGTTGCTGCATTGACAATGAGAAGGCTTGAAACAAACTAGCAGTAGACGGATCCATGTGCATACCTTGTCCTTTAGAAGACTCCCCACTCGAAACTTCTCCCAAAAATCCTTCAAAATTTTTATTTTCGTTTTCCATAAAAAAAAAAGATAAAATCAACCGAAATCCAATACCTTCTACCTCAAACTTTCACGTCGGGTTCACCACTTTTGTCGTATTACGTGCTTTCCTGCTCGAGAACGCGCCTGGCGTCTGGCTGTAGAAGGTAGTATGGAGATTCGCCGATAGTCAAGTAGTCTATCAGTTTTTGACTGCTGGAATATAAACGACTGCAACAATGTACTGTAAATCTATACGGATGCTCTTCGACTGCTTGTCAAAGTTTTTTTTTTTTGCCCCAGCCGATAGGTCTCTAGACGTTACAGAGAACCCCGAACAATCCAAACTGTTAATCTTCAATACCCCTTTGTACTTACGATCTTGTATCCACTGACTGTCCTGTTAGATTAACCCAATAAATTTCATTCACTCCGCATACTCAATCCTATAGACACCCCTTTAATCCTTCAATCACAGACGTAACTCAATTTTACAAAACAGTCAAGAGTATTCAAACCCACTTCATTTAAAAATCCCGATTCACCATTACAACACTGACTTCAGCAGCGATTGCCTCAGTCTTCCCAAAACTCTATGAAGAAGAAAAATCCAAATTCTATGTCTTTCCTTCCCCGACCCGAAGCATGAAGCTCCTCTCTCTAATTCCCTTGATCTTCAAAAAACCTCCAATGAAAACCGAACTGGTAACCTTGCAAAAGCTTGAAAACTAGCTCCCCCCCGATTCCCCCGAAAGAAAAAAACCTCCCCCCTCAAAACTATATCCCCCCTAACCTTATCCTCTGAATTTCTTCAATCTTCCATCTTAGATCCAGAATTGGCTCCCACCTCAAGCTTGGATCCGAAATTGGCTCTCGTCGTCAAACTTTCTCCTCCGTTTTTACCTTTAAGAAATCCATTTACCGAAAACAACGTTCCCTGAAACGGCACAGAGAACAAGACAGCCTGAAACAGAATCGAACCTCGTAATCGGGACCACATTGAGTCGCCCGACCAATTCAGGTCCTATATTGGGAAAGATGCCCATAGTAACCTGGATGTTCCCGTAATTGGGTCAAATTGGTCCTCGCGTCAGATTGGCTAAGACCCGTAGTAAGACCTAGATTTCCCGTAATTAGACTGCATTGGGTTGACCGGCCAATTCAGGTCTCATATTGGATAAGAGGACCCGGATTGGATTATCGAAATTGGATCCAATTGGCTCCTCGAACCCGTCGTGTGAATTGGTCCTTCTCTTCCTGCTGACTCCCGTTATTGGAATCGAACGGAGCATTTCAGTATGCCCCGGCTGACTGTAATGGAGTGACTGAACCTGACCACTCAGTATTTGTACTGGAGTTGGTCGATGCTCCCAATATTCGAGGTAACTGAATATTAATAAAATTCCCCTTTCTTTTTATTTTCACTGTATACTCGTGTTACAACACGACAACGGGACCTAAGAATGGAAATTATAGACAAAAGATGAGAACTAGAAGTGGAAACGGGGACTAAGAATTGAAAATGGAGGCTAGGAATAAGGGTTGGGAATAAGGGACAAGGGTTGGAAATAGGAGCTAGGATCAATAGATGAGGGCCAAGAACAAGGGCTGAAAACAAGAGATAAGGGCTGAAAATGAAGGCTGGAAATGAAGGCTAGAAATAAGAAATGGGGGCTAAGAACAAAGGCTAGGAATGAGGGACAAGAGTTGAAAACTGAAACAAGGGACATGAACATGGACGTGGAATGAGAGTACAGTGTTGGTTATGATTAGTAGAATCAATTTAACAAGCTCTTTTATCTATTTTTCATACACATTTAAAATTTAAAATTTTATTATATATATATATATATATATATATATATATATACATATATATATATATATTTTTTAATTTAAAATTAATATTTTAAATAATATTAATTAAATATATTTATGGTTTTACTTTTTAAAAAATAGGATATAATAGTTTGTAATTTTTATTTAAAACTTAATAATGGATTTAAAATAACTATTTTTTCAAATTCTTATTTAATAAAATTTTGATTAAATCTTAGTTTTTTAATATAATTAAATTATTTACATTTTGAGATATACATCTTTTAATTAAAATAAATAACATATGTAATTTGTAAGACTTAGAGATGTTTTGTACTATCAGTAATGGTATACAAGGCAAACTAAAACTTGAAATTAAACTCTTATACAAAATTTCAAAAATTAAAAATTCTTAAAGAACTATATTTGTTTTGCATTAGAAAGGGTTTTAATTTAAACACATGGTTTATTCTATGCACTCTTATTTTTAAAAAATTATTTTACCAGCTCACTCAAAATAAGCAATATATCACATTTTTTGCAATTGTAATTTATATTAAAAAAATCCATGTTAAAATTTTTTATTCTTTGAGAAAAAACTCCAACTTATAACAAGTTACACTATTATAATTGTAGTAGAGATTCTTTATTGTATATTTATAGTATAAGATATAAAATATATATATATATATCATTTATATTAAATATAGTTGTATTTGTTTAAGAGCATCCATCAAAAATGTGACGTATATTTATGAGTTTTTCCATCTATTTTTTGCCAATTTTATTCCTATGTCACTAATAATCTCATAAAGCATAAAGCAAAAAATTGTTTACTACAAATAACCAGAATGCTTGTTGCCATTGTTCATCTTATGCATGTAGCTTATGAATAATGACACCGTCATCCATTCTTAGGCCCTTATGCAAGGAACAAGACTAAGAAATCATTTAAAATTTATATTTTTAAGTTTTTGTACCACAAAAAAAACATTAGATTTTTTTATGAATAATAAAATGTACCACCATTCTATAATGTATTCATAAGCAATGCACCACTTGAGACTGGTTTTATATTTTAGCTTGCATGGAGTTTTATTTAACCATGTACTGAATTAAATTATATTTATATTAACTTATTAATTTAATTTTTAATTAGTATAATTTTACTAATTTAAATATTTTATACTTTAACTCCTAGAAAATACATATATTAAAATTAAAATAAAAAAATTACAAATGAGAAAACAAATCTCTAAGTATTTACAAATAGGGAAACAAAATCAAAATAGAAAAAAATAAAAAAAATAGGTTAATAAATCAATTTTTCTTGCTTTAAATGTTGACAATATGTATAGTAGCCTAGCAAAAAGATTTGCTGGTGAAAAATGAAACACATCACTTTTATGACTTGATCAATTGATTGCTTCACAATCAGCTTTGAAACATCATGTCTGCAAAAGAAACATTTTAAAGAGTTGCCAATTTCAAACTTGAAATAGTTACCATTGTGTTAATCCTCTAGAATTGATGTGCAATTTTATTTTTTGCAAATGAATTACTACAAAGAAAAGGTTTTTTTTTGTAATGACCATAACTCTGCCAGACACAGTCAAATCCATGTTCTATTCGAGCAAGACCAGCAGAGCAGAAAATGACTGTAGCTGCAATTGTTATTCCACCTAAAATAACATTGTTCCCTTATTTGTATTTTTTTTTTCTATTTAGAAATTATCCATCAAAATAAAAATGTCTAATTTTAATAAAATAATTATGAATTGGATTTATTATTTTATATATTTATGTAATAATGTTTATCAGATATATTTAAAAAATCATAAAATGAATAAATATTAAACTTTAATCATCAAGTAGAGAATATTAAAGATAAATTATTCTGAGGAAATTGTTACAAAAAAATCTAAAGAATTACTAAAAAATTTTCAATTAATAAAGTTTGTAGAATTCAAGAAAAAAATATTTTTTTTGAGTATTAAATATTATAAGTTTTATGTACTAAAATTTCCAAAAATAATAGATATTTAATTTATTTAAGCATCTATATCAAAACAAGTTAAAATCATTCAATGATTTTTATTCAATATGTCAAATATTATATTATTCATAATTTAATATGATTTTGGTTTCAAATTATGTTCCAATAATGTTGTTTTTAAAATAAAAAGAATTAAAAATCTACTAAAAAATTGAATTGGATATTGTAAATGCTTCTATAGTTTTTGCTACTGCTGCCACAAGCCCCTACCTATTTGACATATTATCATTCCAATCAAATGGTTTAAAAGATATTGAATAGAAGTAGCATGTGATAAATACGAGTTGTGATGGCAATGGCAAAAACTATGGTGACATTAGCAATATCCATTAAATAAATTAATAATTATTTTATTACAAGATTAATTATTATTAATTTTTAAAGTATTGTATTTTTTAAAATCAAAAGAAAAAAACCATAATTTTGATTATCCATCAAGTTATATTTCCTAATTTTAAATCATAATAACTAATAACACCAAATTATATATGTATAATAAAAATAAAATGTGTTTTAGTATTTATTCAACCATGAGTCTATCTAAATCGAATTGCTCTTTATTATAGCTAAATAACTTGTTTAAACATGTTACCCCTCAAAGCAAAAATTGTATTGCTAATAAATAAATAAATATACATATATATTTGCAACAAATATAAATTATATTAATATTCACATTTGTAGATTACATATTATAATGATAATAATAATATACATATATATTTGTGGAAAGTTGATGACTTTGTTAACGAAGTGAAAGGACTGTCATGGTGGGCCTGGGCCTCAGAGAGAGCGAGAGACAGCGAGAGACTCGTGCTCCGAGGAGTGTAACGTTTTGTAGGCTCCGCATGACACAGTGAGAGAGAGAGAGAGAGAGAAGAGAGTACCATGCAATCAAACAAGCAATCAAGCAAATTTAGTTTGTTTGTTTGTTTGTTTGCTCATTCTTCCATTCTCAACGGAACCATTCACTGCATCCTCCTCAGATGCAGCAGCAGCAGCAGCAGCAGGACTACTTTACTTCACGTCTAATCGAACTGTGGGTTTTGCATTCTGCAACGAACCTCTGCAGGAGCGTTGAATGAGCGGGGCGGCTCTGTCGGTTACCGCCTAGTCATCTATCATTTTTTGAGTGCATGCATGGAGGCGAGGATCGAGGATAGTTAACAAATGAAGAAGAAGAAAAAGCAGAAGAAGTGAGGGGAGAAAGAGAGAGAGAGAGAGGGAGAGTGAAACGGGATTCGATGAGATGGCTGCGACGATGCATGATCACCCAAGCGTGTCACTCCCGACCAGTCTCTGCAGTGGAGTTCAAATGGGCTCGCACGATGTGCCACTCCACACGAGCGAAGCCATAAAGACGAAACAGAGCGTCTGTCACGGACGGTCGCGCACAGTCGCCCGGAAGTGAAGATGCGACACCAATATTCTGGAGGCTGGTTGAAGCAACTCGTGACCCCCTCTTGGCATCTTCTCTACTTTCCCAGCATCGTCGTCTCTATTGTGGGTTGCATTTTCACCGTGACAGAGAAATACTCGAATGATACAAGCTTAGTTTGTCGTGACTCGAGAAGGGTTGTCAGCCCTCAGGTGCTCGCCTGGGTTCCTAAGAATGGGTAAGCCCTCAGCTCCTGAGAACCATTGCACGTCAGCATGTCCGTTGCTACGAAACTCGGGACTAATTACAAATTTGTAGTAGGGGGAGGGTGTGGATATTCCGGAAACAGAAAATGGGGGGCATGGATCATGGTGTAAGCCTCTGCAGCTAGCCTTGGGGCTTGTGATGAATGGAATAGTGCGATTCTTGTCTAAATTTGCACCTCTTTCTTGTTCGTTTCATGATTAGGTTTTGAAATTTCACGAACGGAACACGTTTGTTTCGCCTTGCGGGTTTTACTCTGCCTCGCGTTTCAGTTTTAGCGGTCCTTTTAGTGTAGAGAAGCCTTTGTTTTCACACCCAAATGAGGGGCCACTGGCAGAAGGGTGACGTCAAAGGATTTCCTGTTTGAGAGTCTCGCACCCATGACAAGAGCCAGACATTCTCGAGGAGGAAAGTGAGGCGAGGAGTTCGGGATGGGACCTCCATGTATCGGACGTGCACTCGGTTTGACGTTTTGCGCATAAAGATAGTGTGGTATCATTTCCCCCTTTCGTTCTGTAATGTCTTTTTTTGGCATCACCAATCCCTAGTCATGGTCGAGAGTTAGACTAACCTCGGGAAGTGTGGACTCTGTCTCTCCCGCTCTTTTGCCTGAAACTCACTTCTCTCCTCTGTTTGGTCATGTGTAAATCAGTGTCTTAAGATACAAGCATTACTCTCCTTGTACTCTTCATTGTTTCGTGAACCCAGTGCATTTGTCTGGCATGTTCGGTCGAATATAAGTGATGATGCACCACGCCTCTCCGCATTCTACTGACTTTCAGGTCTACCAACTGAGTCTCCAGCTTATTGTCGTTCTCATGCCGAGATTGTAGTCTCGAATTCTGGGTTGCGTGCAATTTCTAGCATCAAGTTGCAAGTCAAGTGAGAAGTTGTAGTTTCAGCATGGGTCGACGCCCAGAGGAAACTGAAGGCTCGAGTTAGTCTTGAGTCTGTAAATGATGATGAGCAGAGAAGTTATCGATTGAAGGAATTTGGGTGCGTGTTGGGGGGAGACTATGGTTTGCATTTTGTAGGTGAAGTAGAGTTTCACAGAACGTCTCACAGTTTGTACATACAATTGAGAGGCCAGGTGTGGTTTTAACTGAGGAAAGCGTACGATGGGGTCGAAATGCGACCTATCAATCACCATGCCTGCCTCAAAGTGGGTCGAACAAACGAATCGAAGACCGATATCATTGGTTACTCCAAGTGCAAACTCGCCAGGACACCTGCGTCCTAGTCCGGCAGCCAACTTTGCTTCTTCTGTTCAGAAACCGGCCAATCGCACGGAGCTGCCATCATCAGAGTTTTCGAAGCCTCCTTCAGGGCGACATTTTGGTGACAAGATTTTAAAATTTCTGAAGCTGCGAAAGAAATCCAGCCACGATGCACCGAGCGCTGTCTCCAATTTCCAAATAGACTCTGCATTTCAACCTTCTCTGCAAACGTTCCGCTTCCAAGACCAAACCTCCAGCGCCCAATTAGCCGCCGTCCACGTCGAGGATGTCACCGAGAGGTACAATTACGACTCGGACGAGCACAGCGGAAGCGCGACAAGCGGCGGTTTCGCCGATCGACCCGACACGCACAGCATCTGCTCATCAGCTGCGTCCGCCACGAGCTCTTCCCGCAGCTCGTCGTCCGCACAGTCCTTCGCCAGCACCCCTCGCAGGTCCTTCATCTCTTCCAGCCACCAATCGAACTCCCAGCTCATGGCCACCATACTCGTCTCCATCTCGCACTTGGACGAAGACCACGAGGCCTGCGACGAGCTCAGTTCCGAGGACGATCGCCGCCATCCCACTAGTCTCGACGGTCCGCACGAGTCAGCGTGGCACCAACCTCGTGACGACATGTTCGCCGAATCGCCCGCGCGAGGAAGACACAATCCCGGCAGCCGCAACAATGCTGCGAAACCAGGCTCGGGACGCAGTACACCGAGACACGACCGCGGGTTGATCAATCCCCACATCACGAGCCCGGGAGCCTCTCGTCGCTATGGCACCTTGGACCTTTCGAGGATTGACAAGGTGCGCAGATGATCCGAACCAGTAAATTCAGCTTCTCGGTTGCGAATCATCAGCTGTCGGACTAATTTGTCGAAATATCAGACAGCTGGGTTTTCCTTCTGGAATTGGCATCACCTGCTGTCGGTTCTTGTATAATTTACATCTCTGGTCTGATCGAATCCATCCGCCGGAGTTTTCTAGTTTCGATCACCATGTCGGTATTCGCCTTGGTTTCGTCGTCGTGGTCGTAACCCACGTCGGTAGATTCATCAGAAGACGCAGAATGCTGGAAAAGGCGTTCTGGTCTTGTGAGCTTCTTAAGCGCATTTTGCGATCTTGAGTATCCTTTTGTATCTTTTAATTTGTTTCTAATGCAACGTTCTTGCAAATGCCCAAGCTTTGAATGTCACTAACCAAAATGTAAAAGTGACACTATTTTCACAAGCACAATAATATCATATATACAATTTATGATACACACAATCATTATTTCTTATGATTTTATAAAAATATTGTTCTAATGATGATGTTGCAATAACCAATTTCATTGTAGATCTTCTACTAAGCTAAAAATCTACATACTTTATCTTATTTGAAATCAAATAAATATTTCATGGATTGAATGTATTTCTTTTTATTAAGGATGTGTAAAAAAAGAAAATTGAGATATCATTGCAAGAAATTGTGTGTGAATTTTGTAAATAGTAAAATGGTGTATTGGCCCTATAAATTGTTAAAGAGACTCTATCTGCTTTGCACATGAATACCTCAAACTTTGGTTTGATATAGAGGTTGCAAGAATTTAGGCAAAAGGCAATTAATATAGAATAGAGACATTTCAATCTCATGTAGGCATTCAAAGATTGATCAAGAAGAAATAATTTAGAATTAGGTTAGGGTTCAAAATAAAATCATATTTGAAGAAGTCAAAAATATAAAATTGTAAGAAACTAGATGTTATTGATGTAAGATATAAATATAAAACTAGTATATAGCCATGTTACAAACTAATAAGATAAAAAAAACTCTTAGATATATGATTTAAACTTTTCTTACAAATTCAAAGCATTGATCAATTTTGAATAAATAAAGTGAAAAAGAAACTTGATTTATGATGTTTTGCAAAGATAAATAGTGCATATAGATCCACTATAAATTTCTTCATATTTATAGATAAAAACAAAAAAGCTATATAAAAAATATAGGCAATGGTTTAAATTTATTTTGGAAGAACATCTAAAATCTATAAAAAACCAAAAGACGTAGTATGCATGTTGTAAATAAAAAGAAGTTTGAAGATTGGATATAATTAATTCTAAGAAGCAATAGTTGCACTTCTAGCATAGTGAGTGATGTTGACACTTTAATAAAACAATGTCTTAATGTCAATTCAACTTAGACTTGTATTATCATAAAAACTTATTTTAGAAATTAGTAGCAATATCATAAAAAGAATTTTATATGTAAATTATAAATGGAATAATATTTCTAAAAATAGTAAAAGAATTTGCAAAGCATAGACAAAGATAGAATCATGTCTAAACCTAAGTACTTCCAATTCTTTTAATAAAGTATAGAAAAAATTTATTAAACATAATATACATTTTTTTATAGTTCCACATTGTATTTGATCTCAAAGTCATACCAATTTTTTTAAAAGGTTGTACAAAGAATTAAAGATATCTTTAACATAAGAAAATCTCTGACTTATATTTAAAATCAAAGATGATTTTTTTAAAAAAATTATTTCTTTTCCAATTGTAGACTTATCATTCTACGACTATTATTTTATAGAATAATTTTTTTAATTAGTAGAGATTAAGTTTTTTATAAACATATAATATGGTTTGATATACCACATTCAACCAATTTAAAATATACAAAATAAGTATACATTCATAATTTTTAGATTATAATATCTCTCAATATAAACTAATAGCAACAAATATATTTTAAAATAAAGGAAGAATCTACTCTAATGCTCTCACACAACTTTAAAATGATTAGGATTATTACAAATTTCAAAGCCAAAAATAAAGATAAAACAGACTTTTGATCCTTTCTAAACCACTGGTACAACAGAGCTTTGATCCAAAAATGTATTATTAGTCATGAGGGCCTAATTTGATGGCCTACACTATGAAATTTAGATAGAAATTTTTACAAATTACAAACTAAACGTAAAATTTTAAAAAATTAGAAAAAATACTAAAAAAATTGATGTCTAATTTTGTTTTAAAATGAAAAATTATGTAATTCAACTACAAGCTTTAAAAAAAAAAAAAAAAAAAAAAAAAAATCCATTTAGCTTATATAGTATCAAGTAATGACAATAAATATATGGAGAGTTTAAGCTTGTCATGGGATTTTAAATTTATACAAACTATGTATTCCAAGTCAACTAGAAATTCATATTTTTGGATTGTTCTCAAACCAAGTGGATATGGAATTGGACAACCTTTTCCATATATAATACAGTTGCAAATTCTAGAAAATATGAATCTTGTAAAATATTCTCTTAAAACAGAAGAAATGTTAGCTATAATTATTTATCTTCATTTTAGAAGTTTTAAAGACATCTAGTCACTTCTAAAAATATTACTTCTCAAAATCTTGATACTTGTAAATATTGAAATGATTATGTATTATTTAAACATAAAAAAATAACTTTTCTTTTTTAAAGGAAAAAATTAGGACGATGTCTAGGTTAGGAAGATAATATGGTCAAGATCAATAGATAACCAAAAAATATTGTGAAAAATCACATAAAAGAAAATGAAAAAAAAGAAACAACTCAGCAAAGGTGAAGCTTTAGTATACAATTGGAATAGAATGTTGACAGTAAAAAGTTTGCTAGAATCAATAATGACAAATAATTAAAATCTTGAATTCCTCTCACGAGTTTCACATTCCATAAAGTAGAAAATACATACATATTTTATAAATATAAAATAATGCCACATATAGGTAGTTCAGGGTGTAAGGGTTACAAATGGCTGTATTCTTGGCTTCACTCATCAATGCTCTGGGTATACCCCACTTGTGTCAAAAAATATAAAAATAAATACATTGGGTATATCCCACATACATTTTGGTATCTGCAGGTACCGAGATTTCCATGCGACTCTGAGAGGCAGATTTTCGATGAGTGAGTTGCTCTCAGTTTCACCCCTTCCGCTCTACGAAGACAAACTCCATGTAAAAAAAGCAGAAGAATCCACATTCTCGACTCAGACACATATATTGACTAGTAAACGACTGTTAATTGTGTGAAAGTTCTCGACATACACACTGATAGACTATATGAATGAAAGACATGATGACTAATGAGATCGTTTAGGTCAGGAGCTGGAATAAATCTATTGTTGTCATCAGTAAATTAGTTTGGTTTTTGGCGACTTAAACAAGCACAAGATTAGTAGCCCATGGTGGAAAACCACGCTGAAGCTCCGATTCAGGTTGCAAAAGCTGGGTACAGTTAGTTGCCCAAAATAGCGGGATCCAGGCTTAGCATCTTGCAACAACCAGGCTTTGCAACGTGACTCCGGGCTTCAATTTTGAGTTCTCTGTCATAGACTTGTATGTGAGAAAGCCTGTGTTGTTGAACTATAGCCACTGGGAGTTCACAAGCTTAGCAGGTTGGGGTTTCAAATTAAAGTCAACAGGCGGACATTCCGAGGCGGTTTTCCAGGCCTGCTCGAAAAGAAGCAATGCAGGAGATGTTTTAGTCTGGGCAGAGATTCAATTTCAGTTAAGAAAGGTCAGATACAGTGGTTGTATGATACTGTCCAGAATGGTTCCCAGCGTACCCTAGTTTTCAAATTTTACCGAGCCCCTGCATTTGATTCTATTGTATTGGTTGTTGAACTCTTACATTTGATCCAGGATATGGTTGTTTCTGAAAACTCGAAGGGATCTGTGATTTACCTGAAGGCTCTTGTTCTCTTTGGATGCCTCCCTTGCTCTGAATATTTGCTACATAGTGACAATGTTGTGGCAAAGGAATGGCAACTGACTCATAGTGAAGTCGCTTCAGAATGGAGACAACGTGAGCTTGCCAAAAACTATGGCAGTTTCCACTTTCCAACTTTAGGGTTATTGTTGGCTACTGGAAGGCCTGAATATCTCAATCACAACGCTTCACAAACCTGGCAGAAAAGTTCCTCTGTGATTGAGATCCGTACGTTAGCTCGACAATTGTATTCAATCGCTTACGAAAGAAATACAAATCTCATGACTCAATTCCTCCAATATAGTTGCCTGAGATCGTCGACAAGTTCATGTAATAAAAATGAGTAGAAGTTTGTTATCAATCTGGTTTCAGACTGGAAAATACCGATTGAAGACTGAAGAACGTGGGAGAGAGACAAAAGGGTGTTAGTAATGTTCAAGGGGCATAAATTTGCCTACCAAAGGACACAATCATTGGCCAAAAGGCACGTCACAAGGACAATGGAGCCAAAATGAATTAACAGTTTTTAATTGCCTTTCTCTTCGAAGTTTGGATGGTGCAGCACTGGTGAGGGCACATCTCTCTCCGACACTCTACGAGATTTTCTCACCAGACGCTTGACCAGGGGGACACAGTGATGTACATGTTCTTATGCAATAATCAAAATTGGTGGTACTCATACCTCACTGGAAGATCAGATAATTTCTCACACCGAATTTTGCACGAGATGCTTCCAAATCATTCAATCCATCTGTAATTTTCCTTCAGTTTGGTCGAACTATTTCTAAGGTTGTCTTCTGTAACTAAATAATATGTGGCTATGCAACTTAGATTGTTACTTCTTATCTTAGGTAAGGAACACAATTGAATCTCTATTCTAGCAAGTCAAGGGACAACGCCGTAAACACGCTATTGCTGCATGCCTTGTTGAGTAATTGACACGTAGCTGACACACCACGAATTTGAACCACTTCTGGATATCACTAAACACTGTTGAAACTTTCCAGCATAAAATAACTGGTAAAACTAGTGATCTCACCTTATTTGCATACCAAGGCTAGAAGAATAACCCACTATTTTATCCTGATTGCTTACATAATACGGTTTGTGCCCTGGCGAGATTCTGTCCCAAAGGATATCACGGTCTTCAAGGTCAGACCTAATCAAGAACAGTGTACATATGTCTCTAGTAGACATGCTTACAGCCTTACTTTTTTAGGTCATCACACTGTTAAATCACCAATTCATCGTCGAAGTAAACAAGCTTTCCACTGATTTTCTAATGTTTTCGCATGATATGTATGTTGGGAAGAAAAAAATTCACATGTTTTTAAGTCGTGCAATGTAGTCAGCGATAAAGGTCTGTAACTTAAGGAAAGAGAAGTAATTGCCCTGTGGCTCCCAAAGCAGAAGAAAGCACCAGCTGTGATCATCCTTCTCCAAGTATACATCACATAACCCAGTAACAGTTGCGTCTGGGCTTAAGAAAGTTGCAAACATTGAACCCACTTCACGTTTGTACAATTAGATCAGACGATAGATTTACATGGTTATGATGAGGGGGGATAAGGGTTTTACAAACCAAGCATCAACTCTGTGAAAAAAAATTGATCACAGAAAATGCATGTGCAGCAATTTTTGCAGCTACAGATCAAGATGAGGCCAGGGTAGATACACATAGAAAGCGCCCAAAAAGAAAAGAAGTGAAAGTGAAGCAAAAGTGATGATCATGACCGATGAAAACGTATTAAGTTGGATGCAGAAGAAGAATGTATGACCGAAACCATGAACCTGCCGCCCATGAGGCGGGAGGACCATGGGAAGAAGACGCTCGTGTTGGACTTGGACGAAACCCTAGTCCATTCGTCCTTCAAACCCACCCACAACTACGACTTCCTCATAAACGTCGAAATTGAAGGGCGGATAACTACCGTGTACGTGCTGAAGCGCCCCTACGTCGACCGTTTCCTGCAGGCAGTGTCTCAGAAGTTTGAAGTTGTTGTCTTCACAGCCAGTTTGCGAAAGTATGCAGACCCACTGCTGGACGTGCTGGACCGTGAGAATCTGGTCCAGTACCGCCTCTACCGAAACTCCTGCCGTCCCATGCAGGGTGGATTTGTGAAGGATCTGTCTCGCTTGGGCAGGCCCCTCAGCAAGACCATCATCGTCGACAACAACCCTCATTCATACCTATTGCAGCCGCACAATGCCATCCCCATCAGCACTTACATCGATAACCCGCACGACCAGGAATTGCTTGACCTCATCGATTACTTGGACAACATCGATTTATTCGAGAATGTCACCACTGCCATTGCTTCTAGGAATACTTAGACACTTTTTCTGCTAGTGCTGCTGTTCGTGATCCTCATGATTACAGTAATATGGACTGTAATCTCGTTGCAGACATTGCTAATTTGACCCTAAACTAAGTATTAGGCTACAAAATCCACTTCAACAGTCTTGCTAATCAACACCTGGCTAAATCCATTTCGGCGAGGTGAATCATAGAACTTAATGTTCAACTTTACTCGAAATCACACACCATTAAAAAAACCAGGATCTTCATATTTTTAACTCACTGCAGCTACACTAATCACAGCAGCAAGTGTCGTAGGTCATCGACTTTGCACTCCACGCAGGAAACACAAGAAGTGCCTAACAATCGCGTCTAGGACTTTCTCATCACTCCCGTTAGTCAAAGCCAAGAGAGGCGGCGAGTAATGAGTTTTGAGTTGAATGCCAGTAACTCGTGTCCGGAAATTGCATCAGAATCAAAGGTAAAAAGATGTTCGGTACAGATGTGTGATAAAACCAGTCGGTAAATCTAATAGATCTCCGTGCAGATAGCCACTCCATTCAAGGTCAGAACACTCAATCACCAAACATTTGTGAAGAAGAATGTCTAGTTGAAGAGATGACGATGAGAGTTACCAGATTACAGAAACTGTCAGAAAATCACTCGACGTTCCAAGAGTTGCAGCTCATTAGATCATCCCCACTCTATGCAGGACCAAACTCCTTTCACATGCCACAATGTTTACCACGGCACATCACGTCTCGAATCCAACGTCCACTCCCAGTGACCCATTCTATAAACAGACACGAAAAATGAAGTCTTTCCATCATATTTTAGACCTAATACTACTAAAAATTTCAAGCTGACATAGACTTGGAGAAGTTTCCGGAAACATTGACTGTCTGCTGAACTCACAACCTCCTCCCTCTAATTCATCAAAAGGGAAATATACTTTAGAAGGCAGCATTAAATGAGGAGACATTTTTGATAGAAAAGCAGGTAACATGAAATGATTTGATAGAATGCAGGTAGCCAACATGTGAAGTGTGAAACATGAGGATCATGAGGTTCAAACCCATCAGTACTACGAATGTGTTTTTTGTGTGATCAATCAAACGAGCCGTTTTTCAAGAGGGTTTTTGTGGGTGTCAGCGAAGTGCACAGCTGAAACACCCAACAATCGGTGGGAAGTATGAAACCTTGAAATCATGTTGAAAGAAAGCTTTTCCAGCACTCCTGTTGAATCACCTGTCAACAATCTTGGCCAATGTTCAAAGCAAACACTTCCCCCGTAGGTTAGTTAATAGCTATTGTTATTCACATTGTCGGGTACACTCATACCACAAGGTGAGGAGTTGCTATTACTCTTATGGTTAGTGCTAGTCTCGGTTGCTGCAAAGTGTGGAGTTAAACTAAGGTCATTTGTCCTCTGATTTGAGAAGATCTTACCTCTATTTGAAGACAAGTCATGAAAAAATTGGAATGAGGTTTTAAATCTCAATAATGTGCTCTTAATGGATAGTAATACTCTTCATAATATTAGCAATCTGTATCAAATTTGAGCACTTGTAATATTGCAAGTAACAACAAATTTAATGTTGTAATTTCTAAACATGTACTTCTCTCACATGCACTCTCTGTGAAGTTATTTATAGCAATAGTGGTTGCTCCTTAAATGGGCTTGTTAAAATTGATGAGCTGAAGAGGAGAGTGGACTAGCTTGAAATTTTTTAGGATTGCACTATTTCTTCTCAAAGCCAAGGCAACTACAACAGGGGAAAAAAATAACAAACAAAACAAACCAAAACAATACTATATACAATGCTAAAATCATTGTTGATAATATTCATTAATATACAATGCAAGTGATATTTTTAAAATAATAAAAAATAAAAAGATATTCTTGATATTTTAAGATATTCAAAAGATATATTTGAAATTTTTCCTATTGTATATAAAATGAATAGATTGGATCAATGATTGTATTTAAATCACATAATTTTTATTTATATGTAAGTATAATATGTGTTTTAGTTTTATATATAAAAAGTTTATATATAAAAAATAATGCATAAGTGTCATGGACATAAGCATGTAAGCCAGTATTTTCAAGTATAAATAAGTAGAAGTAAGTAAAAATAGATAAAAGTAAGTTAATTCTATAGTATTTAATATGGAAGCTTCTTAGAAGCTTCATAGATGCTACTTTGACTTTATAGATGTCTTTAATTGACTTTTTGGGATTAGAAACATGATCAACAAGTTGACCATGTACCACATATGTTATTAGCTTGAAGACCAAGCTCACTATGTAGCCGACACGTAGAAAAACTTGCCTTGTAAGTCAAGGCATGTGTCCTATAAAGTCAACACATATTGGAGGTCCTATAGAACGTCGCCACATAGCTCCTAATAAGATAGTATATATAGAGACAAGAGTGAAGCTCTCTTCACTATTATCAATTCCTTTCTTGCTTCTAATCTAGTTTCAAGGGTCTCTAGTTTTCTTGACTTTTGGCAATAGCCATTCCAATTTCTTTGTTAATATACATATCAAGTTATTTCTATTTTTTCATCTTTCTTTGAGAGAAGTCTCACTTGTTTATTTGTCTTTATCATATTCTTGTCCTTAACAGATTGACAAGAGTACACTTACAATATCAGAGCTTTGTCTAATCATGATTAAGAGTAGATTACCTCTTTTTCTTGATAAAACATAAGCATATTAGAAGTTATGGATTACCCTCTTCTAAACTGATATTGTCCTTAGTATTTTCTTTGTTCTCAAGTCCTCTCTTCTATTTGTCTTAAGCCATATTAGACATCTTCTCTTTTCTAAGTGTTATCATGGCAGAACTTGTTGAAATGAAGAGTGCAATGGTACAAATGCAAGAGCAATCGAGGGAGTTAATGCTTGCGATGCATCAACTCAATTTACCACCACAAGGAGCAACAAGATTGGCATGAAGTGAAGATATAGAAATGATTGGAGTTGCTTCAATATCTGCACCAAATCATGTCCCTCTTCCTATAGTGGAACGCCCTTTCAGTATTAGAGAACTTGGAATTGCCATACTATAGAAGTTTGATGGCACCAGATCGAAGTTTAGAGAATTTATCAATCAAGTATAACTTATGATTGAACTTCAATCCCAAAGCTATCCAACTCTAGGATTGCAAGTTAGATTCATTGGTACGCTTCTTTCAGGTTTAGCACTATCGTGGTTTTCATCTTTACTTGAACAACGAGATCCAATATTGGATAATCTAGAGGCTTTTCTGGCGGAGTTTCGATCCATGTATGGAGAACATGATGCAATTCATGTTGCAACCAATAAGATCCGTATTTTATGACAAAGTAATTGATCAGTAACGTTGTATGCTTCACAATTTCAACAACTTGCAACTGATATCAAGTGGGATGATGCTGCACTTATTAGCCAATTTCTCTACGGATTACAAAATGAGGTAAAAAAATTAATGTTGAACTTACCTGATCCTCAAATATTGAGTCAAGCAATTGACTTTGCTGTGAAGTGCGACAATCACTTTTTTGAATTTTGATTTGAGAACCGTACAAGTGGACCTCAATGTTACTATAATTCAATAGCAACACCAAGATCTCTTCAACACATACATTCGGAAGTAGAGGATATGCAAATTGATGCAGTACATTTCAAACCAATTACTGAGCAAGAAAAGACTTGTCGTCGCTGAAAGGATTGTGCTTATATTGTGGAGAACCTAAGCACATTGCTCAACATTGCCTAAAGAAGCGACACAACCATAAAATGAGGAGTACAATGATTAAAGGAGATAGCATGTCAAAAAACAAACTTGTCCAGCTACAGTAGTGATTGTGTGGTTGGAACCTTGTACAATGCCTAATGAAGGTCCTATCCTCTCCTCAGAATCTTCTCCATGTTTTACGATAAATTTTATTCTAGGACCTAAACATCTCAAAGCCTCTGTATTGCTAGATTCAAGAGCCTTAGCATGTTTCTTAAATGAAAAATTTGCTAAAAGACATAGCATATTTTTACTAAAGAAAACTAAATCTGTTCATGTAGAAGTCATAGATGGTCGTCCATTGTCTTCAAGAAATATTACTCATGAAATCCTTTCCATAGAAATAACAACTAATGATCATAGAAGTTTTATAATATTTAATATCATTAGATCTCTTTCTAATCCAGTCATTTTAGGTTTATCATGGCTAAAAAAATATAATCCTAAAATAGATTGGACTTCTCGTAGTCTTGACTTTTCTGAAAGTATAACTAAGAGTGTAGTTAATCAAGCAGAAAGTCATAAGACTAGTATAATTAAACCTATATTTGTAGGTGCAAGTACTTTCTTGCATGTTGCAAAAGTAGGATCACCTTGTGTCATTTATACTTGTCACGGCCATAATCATGTAAGCTAATAATTACATATAGAAATAGGTAGAAGTAAGTAAAAGTAGTTAAAAGTAAGTTAATTCTATAATATTTAATATAGAAGCTTCCTAGAAACTTCCTAGATGCTGTTTTGACTTCATAGGTGTCTTTAATTGACTTTTTGGATTAGAAACGTGGTCAACAAGTTGGCCATGTGCCACACATGTTGTTAGCTTGAAGATCAAGCTAACTATGTGGCCTACACGTAGAAAAACTTGCCTTATAAGTCAAGGCATGTGTCCTACAAAGTCAACACATATTGGAGGTCCTATATAACGTTGCCACGTAGCCCCTAGTTAGATAGTATATATAGAAACAAGAGTGAAGGCTTCTTCACTCTTGACAACTCTTTTCTTGCTTCTAGTCTAGTTTCAAGGGTGTCTAGTTTTCTTGTCTTTTCGCAATAGCCATTCTAGTTTCTCTTTTCAATATACATACTTATTATTCATATTTTGTTACTTTTCTTTGAGTGAAGGCTTACTTGTCTGAACTGTTTTTTTCATCGAGTTCTTGTCCTTGACAGATTGACAAGAGTGTACTTACAATATCAGAGCTTTGTTTTTCTTGAGTAAGAGTGGATTACCCCTTTCTCTTGACAAGGCATAAGCGTATTAGAAGTTTGCGGATTACCCACTTCTAAACTGATATTGTTCTTAGTATCTTTTTTGTTATCAAGTCTTTCTTTTCTTTTGTCTTGAGCAGTATCAAACAAATTTTTCTTCTTAGTGTCATTATGGCAGAGCTTGTTGAAATGAAGAGTGTAATGGCACAAATGCAAGAGCAAATGAGGGAGTTAATGCTTGCGATCAACTCAATTCACCAACAAAGGAAAGAACAAGAATAGCAGAAAGTGGGGATATAGAGATGATCGGAGCTGCTTCAACATCTACAACAAATCACGTTCCTTCTCCAATTGTACAACACCCTATAAGCACTAGAGAACCAAGAATTGCCTTACCTGAGAAATTTGATGGTACGAGATCAAAGTTTCGAGGGTTCATCAATCAAGTACAATTGGCAATTGAACTTCAACCGCAAAGCTATCCAACTCTAGGATCACAAGTCAGGTTTATTGGCACTCTACTTTCTGGTTCTGCATTATCGTGGTTTTCGTCTTTTCTTGAACAATGAAATCCAATATCGGATAATTTGGAAGCTTTTTTTGGCAGAGTTTCGATCTCTGTATGGTGAACACGATGCAATTCGTGTTGCAACAAATAAGATCCGAATTCTGCGATAAAGAAATCGCTCAGTAACAGTGTATGCTTCACAATTTCGACAACTTGCAATTGACATCAAGTGGGATGATGCTGCACTCATCAGTCAATTTCTTTATGGATTGCAATACAAAGTAAAGAAATTGATGCTCAACTTACCTGATCCTCAAACTTTGAGTCAAGCAATCGATTTTGCGGTAAAATGTGATAATCGACTTTTCGAATTTCGATCCGAGAATCATTCATGGGAACTTCAACGTTAGTACTCAATGGCAACATCAACATCTTTACCAAACGTACATTCGGAAGTAGAAGTCATGCAAATTGACGCGGTACGTTTTAAACCCCTAACTGAGCAAGAAAAGATTCGTCGTCGTTAAGAAGGATTATGTTTATATTGCGGAGAACCTAAGCACACTGCTCAACATTGTCCAAAGAAACGACGCAACTATAAAATGAGGGGTACGACGGTCAAAGAAGACAACATGTCAAAAAACGGATTCGTCCAGCTACAATAGGGACCATGCAGCTGGAACCTTGTACAATTCCTAATGAAGGTCCTATCTTCTCCTCAGAACCCTCTCCTTGTTTTATAATAGACTTATATTTAGGACCTAAGAATTACAAAGCCTCTGCTTTATTAGATTCGGGAGCCTCAGCATGTTTTTTAGATGAACAATTTGTTAAAAGTCATAAAATACCCTTTGTACAGAAACCTAAACCAGTACATGTAGAAGTCATAGATGGTCGTCCCTTGTCTTCTGGAGATGTCACTCATGAAACTCATCCTATAAAAGTAACAATAGACGGTCATGAAAGCTACATAGCTTTTAACATAATTAAATCCCCGTCCAATCCAATTATTTTAGGTTTATCCTGGCTAGAAAAATATAACCCTCGAATAGATTGGAATTCGCATAAACTTACCTTTTTCCAGAGCGTTATTAATAGTTCTATCAACCAGGTAAAA